TAAATATCAATGGACTGAACTCCCCAGTCAAAAGACACAGGCTAAGCAAATGGATTAAGAAACAAAATCCATCTCTTTGCTGTCTGCATGAAACCCATCTCACCTTCAAGGACAGGCACTACCTTAAGGTAAAAGGGTGGAAAAGAATATTCCAAGCAAATGGCACTAAGAAACAAGCAGGGGTTGCAATTCTAGTATCTGAAACAATAGACTTCAAAGTAAAGAAGAGATAAAGAGGGTCATTTCATTCTGATCAAAGGAATAGCTAACCAAGAAGCTATTACAATCCTTAACATATATGCACCAAATTCTGGTGCACCCAATTTCATAAAATCACTACAGGACTTTAAGACACAGATTAACCTCAACTCAGTAATAGTAGGGGACTTCAATACCCCACTGTCTCCTTTAGACAGGTCAACTGGACAAAGAATAAACAGATGTCTGAATTAAATGATACCATAGATCAAATGGACCTAACACATCTTTCAATTATTCCACCCAAACACCAAAGAATACACTTTCTACTCAGCACCTCATGGAACTTTTTGAAAGATTGACCACATACTGGGCCACAAAACAGACCTCAACAAATACAAAAATATTGAAATAATTCCATGCATTCTATCAGACCACAAAGCAATAAGGTTCAAAATCAACACTGGACAAAGCTCTAGTCACTACACGAACTCGTAGTGATTGAACAACACACTCCTAAACAATGAGTGGGTCAAAGGAGAAATTAAGAAAGAAATAAAAGAATTCCTGGAATTCAATAAAAAAAGACAACACAACACAACCTCTGGGACACATTAAAAGCAGTCCTAATAGTGAAGTTTATAGCTCTAAGTGCCTACATTACAAAATTGGAAGGAGCCCAAATAAATGACCTAACACTGCAACTCAAGGCACTGGAAAGGCAAGAACAAATTAAACCTAAACCCAGCAGAAGAGAAGAAATAACAAAAAATCAGAGCAGAAATTAATGAAATAGAAACAAGAAAACAATACAAAGAATCAATCTAAGATCTGGGTCTTTGAAAAGCTAAACAAGATAGACAGACCCTTAGCCCAGTTAAAGCAAAAATAGGCAGATTCCTGTGTGAAAACAGAAGCTGGGCATGGTGGCTCACACCTTTAATCCCAGCGTTCAGGGTATAGAAGCAGGTGGATCTCTGTGAGATGGAGGCCAGCATGGTCTCTACATAGTGAGTTCCAGGCTAACTCAGGCTACAGGGAGACCCTGTCTCTAAAAAAACAAAAAAAGAAAGAATGTGTAGGAGACATTATTTGCAAGTCATTTGTCTAATAAGGGGTTAATATCTGGAATATATAAGGAATTTCTACAACTCAACAACAAAAACAGCCCAACTGAAAAGGGACAGAGGATTTAAAATAGACAGGTCTCTAGCTGGCTGTGGGGGCACATGCCTTTAATCCCATCAGAGGCAGAGGCCAGTGGATCTCTATGAGATCAAGGCCAGCCTGGTCTACATAGCAATTTCCGGGTCAGCTGGGGAGACCCTGTCTCACAAAAAAAAAAAAAAACCAGTTCTCTAAACGTTAACAGCCATCATGTATATGAAAAGATGCTCAGCATTACTGTAGAGAGAAATACAGAAAAAAACAGGCAGTGTCACAGTTCAGTTCATAGGAAGGCTGCTACCAAAGAAATAGAAAATATGTGTTGATAAGGATACAGAGAAATTGCAAACCTTGATTCATTGTTGGTAGGAATATAAATGGTATAGCCATTATAGAAAATGATATGGGGGACTGGAGAGATGGCTCAGTGGTTAAGAGCACCAACTGCTCTTGCACAGGACCCGGGTTCGATTCCCAGCACCTACATGATGGCTACAAACCATCTTTAACTTCAGTTCCAGGGCATTGCACGAAACGGGTGCACTCACATACATGCAGGCAATACACTTATACACGTAAAATAAAAATAATATATATTTTTTTTTTGTCTTTTTGAGACAGGGTCTCCTTATAGTCCCAGCTGTCCTGGATCTCACTATGTAGACCAGGCTTGCCTCGAACTCACAAAGATCCACCTGTCTCTGCCTCCCAAGTGCTGGGATAAAAGGTGTGCTCCACCATGCCCGACCATGGTAATTTCTTATAAGACTAAATATACTTTTTTTTATTTTTTGAGACAAGGTCTCCCTGTAGCCCCAACTAGCCTGGAGCTCACTATGCAGACCAATCTGGTCTTGAACTCACAGAAATCCACCTGCCTCTGTCTCCTGACTGCTGGGATTAAAGGTGCTCTAAATATACTCTTATGTGATCCAACAACTCTGTTCCTTGTTGTTTTGCAGGCAATACACTCATACACATAAAATAAAAATAAAATATTAAAAAAAGAAAAGAAAATTATATGGAATAGAATTACCATATGAATCAGCAACCCCTTTTGGGTATATATCCAAAACTGAGGACCGGTGAGATGGCTCACTGGTTAAGAGCACTGACTATTGTTGAGGACCTGGGTTTGGTTCCCAGCACCCACAGGGCAGCCAACAATTGTTCACAAGGTGCACTTACATATGTGAAGGGGTTGGAAAGATGGCTCAGTGGTTAAGAGCACTGGCTGCTCTTGCAGAGTACCTGGGTTCAGTTCCCAGCACCCACATGGTGACCAACAACTACTAATTCCAGTAACAGGGGATCCAACGCCTTCTTTTGACCTCCATGAGCATTGTACAACACGGGTGCACTTACATGCAGGCAATAAACTCATACACATAAAATAAAAATAATAAGTAAAAAAAATTTTTTTTGGTCTTTTTTTGAGACAGTGTCTCCCTATAGCCCCAGATGGCCTCAAACTCACTGAGATCAACCTGCCTCTGCTGGGATTAATTGTGTGGCCCAAATAAGATATTTTTCTAAAAACCATACATGAAGGCAAAACACAGAATAAAAATAAATTTTTAAAACATGAAGGTCTCACATATATTTGCATATCCATGTTCATTGTGTCATCAGAATAGCCAAGAACTCCCAGCAACCCAAGTATTTGTTCACAGATGCATGTCTTTTATTTATCCGTTCTCCTGGAACTCACTATGTAGACCAGGCTAGCCTCGAACTCACAAAGATCTGCCTGCCTCTGCCTCCCAAGTGCTGGGATTAAAGGCATGCACCACCATGCCCAGCCATGAATGTATTTCTTAAAATATGGTATATACATGCAATGTCATATTATATAGCCTTAAAAAGGAAACTCACAGGCTGGAGAGATGACTCAGTGGTTAAGAGCACTTGCTGCCCTTGCAGAGGACCCAGGTTCAATTCCCTGCAACCACATGGCAGCTAACAATGGTCCTAACTCTAGTTCCAGGGGATTCATTGCCCTCTTCTGACCTCCAAGGGCACTGCACAACATGGGTGCACTTACATGCAGGCAGTACACTCCTACACATAAAATATACTAAATAAAAATTATTTTTTAAAAAAGGAAAACCTCTAGCCAGGTGTGGTGGCACACGCCTGTAGTCCCAGCACTTGGGAGGCAGAGGCAGGCAGATCTCTGTGAGTTCAAGGCCATCCTGGTCTACATTGTGAGTTCCAGGCCAGCTGGGGCCACAGGGAGACTGTTTCAAAAAGACAAAAAAAAAAAAGAAAGAAAGAAAACCTCAAAGACATGCAAAGTGAAATAAGCAGTTACAAAAGAAAACACCAGGAGCTAGAGAGAGGGCTCAGTGGTAAAACGCACTGGCTACTCTTGCAGAAGACCCAGGTTTGATTCCTAGCACCCACATGGCAGCTAACAACCAGTTCCGGGAGATATGATGCCCTCTTCTGGCCTCCTTAGGCATTGTATTCACATACATGCAGTCAGAGCACTCATAAAGTAAAACAAATTAATTTTTAAAAATTTTACAAAAAAGGAAACACTATATTTGCAGTCACATGAAGGACTTGAAGTTGCCACATGGTAGTAGAAAGCAGAGGAATGGCTTTCAAGGTTTAAACGAGGATCCAGCCCAGTCATTTTCCATGTCTGAGGGAAAAGGATAAAGTAACAAGGATTATTTTCTCTCATAAGAAATAGATGTGAGGGGCTGGTGAGATGGCTCAGCGGTTAAGAGCACCAACAGTTCTTGAAGAGGACCTGGGTTCGATTCCCAGCACCCACATGGTGGCTACAAACCATCCTTAACTCCAGTTCCAGGGGAATCTGAAACCCTCTTCTGACCTCCACGGCACTGCACGACATGGGTGCACTCACATACAGTGTATTGCAGGCAATACACTCATACACATAAAATAAAAATAATAAAATATTTTTTTTTAAAGGGTCTCTCTGTGTAGCCCAGCCTAGCCTCAAACTCATGATTTTCCTGCCTCAGCTTCGTAAATGCTGAGATTACAGGCATGTACTACCTTTCCCAGCTAATGACTTTAGTGACCAGTAATGAGCCCGTTTAGATGTGCAGATCCTCCAATGGCCTCTCAATCCTGACTGTCCTCATGGCTCCCCTGCTGTTCGTTCTCCTGTCAGCTCTTGTTCCCTCTTTTGTAGTAGCCAAGCCACATTATCCTTTTCGTTGCCACCATCAAGATGACATTCCAATGCAAGGCTCTTGTCATTCTTCCTCTTTTGTGGCAGGTGAAGGGTGTTTAGCTCTTTATTTATTCATTTATTTTTTTGTTATTTTATTTATTTATTTTTTGGTATTTTTGAGACAGGGTCTCCCTATAGCCCCAGCTGGCCTGTAGACCAGGCTAGCCTCAAACTCACAGATATCCACCTGTCTCCGCCTCCTGAGTGCTGGGATTAAAGGCATGCACCACCACACCTGGCTGTGTTTGGCTTTTTTGAGACAGAGTTTTACCATGTATCCCAGGCTGGCCTTGGCCTAACTCATCTGTTTCAGTCTCCTGAGTCCAAGACTCTAGGCATGTATCATGCCCAGCAATCATTCTGCTTATCTAAAACTTTGATTACTCTCCATTGCTGTCTGTTATCCAAGGTGAAACAAAATACTTCAGAGTTTGGCCTTACCAAATTAAGTCATTTCCTTTGAACCTTGTACTCTATTTAATAACTTAAATGAGAAGTTTATTTTTATGTAAAAGAAATCTAGAGAAAAGCAATCTGAAGATAGTATGGAGGTTACATATTTTAAAAATTACAAAGAAGGCTGGGTGTGGTGGCGCACACCTTTAATCCCAGCACTCTTGAGGCAGAGGCAGGCGGATCTCTGTGAGTTCAAGGCCAGCCTGGTCTACATGGTGAGTTCCAGGACAGCTGAAGCTACAGGGAGACCCTGTCTCAAAAAGACAAAAAAATAAAATAAATTAAAACATGCTTAAGGCACAAAAAAGAATGAAGCAAAGCATTAATTAATATTTAATATTTGGTTAAAATAAAAATATTTTTTTAAATGCATTGTCCATATTTGATTGACTTTCTCCAAGAAAACCTGCTGAAAAGAATGAGTTAGCATATGGTCTATGTATGAAGAGAAATTTAAATATTAAGATACTTGCCCCTTAAGGAACATGCATTTTGGATAATGATGGGGCTATTGAAATAAGCATATAATTAGGGGGCACCTAGAAAGATGAGTCAGTGGTTAGGAGTGCTTGCTGGTCTTCCATAGGACCCAAGTTTGGTTTCCAGCACCCACATCAGGCAGTTCACAATTGCCTGTAATTCCAGCTCCAAGGGATCTGACACCCTCTTCTGACTTCTGTGGGTACCCACAATGTGTGGCATACATTCACACAACACAGATACACATATAAATTAAAATTTTTAAGAGATAGAATTATGAACATAAATATTCTTAGTTTTTAAAAACTGGTTTTTATAGGTATAGCTGTTTCTGGAACTCTTAAAAGACAGCAAGGCATAATTAGATAGTGCACAGTGCTCTGAAGTAGAATAGGACTGAGAAATAAGATGAGGATGTAGCTCAGTGATGCTTTCCTAGCGTGAGGAAGGTACTGGAAAAAAAAAGTATTCAAGAAAAGTATTCAGAAAAGTATTGCCAGGACAAGGCGGGTGTGAGCCAAAAGTCATGTTGCTTGTTACATAACTTTATATTGATATGCAATTAATACTGCCCCTTCATTCCCTCTCTGAGACTTGGTATTAGGGGAAAGAAGTTACATTTTCCATCTTCTTATGCTCATAAAGCATCTTCCACTATCAAATCTCCTGGCTTGTCTGCTATGGAAGGAGACGAGGCAGACCGTATAATCTTCTCAGAAGGAATCGTAGAGGAATACCTAGCGTTCGAGCACACAGATATGTAAGTATTGTTTTTCAAGCTTTTCACTGTCCTATTTTGTGTGTCAAAATCTACTTTTTCAAACTTCTTTTTTCATCGGTGGTTGTGATCATAGGTGCCTCTTCCACATGCTTGGCTTCCCTAGGCACCTTCTTTCTTCACCTTTTGCCTCTTCCTGAGATCAGAGATTTTTGCAAAGTTAACCTTTTTTCTCTACAGAATTTGTTCTTATGCTTTTATACATTATCACCCGTGGAAACTCCACAACTTTTTCAAAGAGCAATTGAAGCAGTGTAAACTGTTTATATACTTTTAACAGATACAGTTTATATAAAACTGTCACGTATGATACAGACTTTATAATAGCGATGCTCTTTTATGTGCATTTGTATCCTACAGTAGTCCTATGACATAGATACCACCTTCTCAGTGGGACAGTGAAATCAGAGTGGTTAAGAGATTGTCTTAGGTAAAGTTAAAACCAAAACCTGTTCAGATTCTAAATCCAATGTTCTTGTCATATTCCATGCTACTGTTCTGAAACTTAGAGCTATTCTTCTAAGCCTTTAAAAGTTCCAGAATTTCTGGGAATATAACTCAGTTGGTAGGATGTTTCCCTAGTATGCGCAAGGCCCTGAGTTGAGTCCCCAGCACTGCATAAACTGCAAATGATGGTACATGCCTGTATCCAGTGCTCAGGAGGTGGTGATCTCAGGATCATCCTCAGCCACATAGCAATTTCAAGGCCAGCCCAGGCCATGAGACTCTGTCTCAAAAATAAACAGGACTTGTGAGATGGCTTTATGGATAAAGGCTGACACCCTGAGTTTGGATCCCTGGAACCCACATAAAAGCTAAGTGTAGTAGCATAGGTGTGTAATCCCAGCATTCCTGTGGAGAGATGGGAGGCAGGGACAAAATAATCTGAAGTCCTTGGGCCAGTGAGCATGGTATATTGTAGTAATTAGCAACAAGAGAAACCTGTCTCAAACCAAGTGGAAGGGGAGGACTGTTCTCTAACCTCCCCATGCACTCCACGGCATGGGTGCACACACATACCCCTTGTACACACACACAAAACCAATGAACTAATTGGAAATACCTCCTTGTTTAAAAAAAAAAAAAAAAAAGCTCCAGAACTGATAGCTACAAGAACACATGTGGAAGTAGGAGTTTCATTTTAGGCTGGTGGTCAGTCTAGTTCTTATTGTGCACACAGTCCTGCAGCCAGCAAACATACACAGGTAGCTGTATGTAACACCCTGAGCTAGCTCAAGGTGTAAGAAGATCCTGAATGGTTCTTAAGATTTTCTAGAGACTCCTTTCCCGGTCTTCATCAGCTTGATTCTGTCTTTTGTTTTTTTGTCTCAAATCAAATGTCTTCTCCTTTGGTTTAAGGTTATGAAAAATGAAGTTGACTGACCAAATTTCATATGTGATGCAAATAGGTGTTCCTAAGCATCCCTTTCCCTTTTTCTGGTAATAAACCCAAATGAATTTTTAGATAATATGGACAAGATTTTTAAAAAGGCAACTTTTCCTGCTAGCGATACTGCCATAATAACTTGTAAAGTTGTAATGTGGAGCGTGAGGCACAGAGGACTGCCCATAGTGATGGTCCAATTATGAGTTCTTTTTTAGCCAACGGTCAGAGAGGGGGCTAATGCCCAAAAGAACTCTCCCTCTCCACCCAGAAGAGAAGCAGGGCAGGGTTTACAAAGCTTTAAACCATGCAGGATGTGGTGGTGCACACCTTTGAACCCAGGAAGAGGCAGGCAATCTCTAGGAAATGGAGGCCAGCCTGGTCTACATAGTAAGTTCCAGGTGGGCTGGGACTAGCAAGACCCTGTCAAAACAAAAAACAAAATAACAACAAAAAAAAACCAATAAAACTTAAAACCACAATTACATCATGCCAGGGGCAAAGCCAATAACCATAGTTACAGTAGATCAGCATATAGTTACACCAGATCAGGGGCAGGTCGGTTAGGAAAAATAAGTTTCCTAGAATTGCAGAAACATGGACTCCATGGAGATGTTGGGAAAGGATGTGCTACCTGGCTATTTGTACATTTTCCAGTATTGTATAAACAATGTACCCCCTGAATCTACAGATGCATGCAGCCTTCATGGCTGACTGGTTCTGCTTGGCTGACTGCAGTTAGTTCAGGGGCAGGGCTAGGCAGAAACACAGGGTGAAGCAAAAATCACCTAGAACAAAATGGAGTCAGCTTTGCCATTTCAAAGTGACATAGTAGTTGGCCTTTTTAAAAATGTTTCTGAGGGGCTGGAGAGAGAGCTCAGCAGTTAAGAACAGTGACTGTTCTTGCAGAAGACCCAGGTTCGAATCCCACCACCCACATGGCAGCTAACAACTATCCATACCTCCAGTTCCAGGGAATCCAACAACCTCTTCTGTTTCCCGTGGGCATTGCATGACACGGGTGCACTTACCTACATGCAGGTAACACACATAAAATAAAAATAAATAAAAATTTTTAAAAAATGTTTCTGTGGCTTGGCAGTTAGGAGCACTGACTGCTCTTACAGAGGACCTGGGTTCAATATCCAGCACCCACATGGTGTCTAACAACTGTCCTTAACTCCAGTTCCAGGAGATCCAATGCCGTCTTCTGACCTCTGAGGGCATTGTACATCATGGGTGCACTTACACACCACATGCAGGAAATACACTGCACATAAAATAAAAATAAGAGGGCTGGGCGTGGTGGCACATGCCTTTAATCCCAGCACTTGGGAGGCAGAGGCAGGTGGATCTCTGTGAGTTCAAGGCCAGCCTGGTGTACATAGTGAGTTCCAGGACAGCTGGGGCTACAGGGAGACCCTGTCTCAAAAAGACCAAAAAAATAAATAAATAAAAAAAAATAAAAACAATAAATAAAATATTTTAAGGGGCTAGAGAGATGCCTCAGTGGTTAAATGCCCTAGCTGTTCTTGCAGAGGACCCAGGTTCGAATTCCAGCTCCCACACGGTGGCTTAGAACCATTCATAACTCCAGTTCCAGGGGATCCAACACCCTCTTCTGCATGACACAGGTGCACTTATTCAAATGCAGGCATAACACTCATACACATAAAATAAAAATAAATAAACAAAAATTTTAAAAGTTTTTGACTAAAGCTGGGCCTAGTGGCACAGGCTTATAACTATAGCTATTCAGTGGCTGAGGTAGTACAGTCACAAGTTCAAAGCCAGCCTGGGCTACAAAGTGAGATCAGGCTAGCCTATACAATTTGGTGAGACTGCCTCAAAATAAAAAGTAAAAAGAAGACTAGAGCTATAAATCAGTGGTAGGGTGCTTGCCCAGCATGCATGAGACCCTGTACTGTAAAAACAGAATGTTCCTAACTAAAAATATTGAAAGTCACAAAATAACTGAAAATGCCTGAAGGCAGTCAGTATGGGTATCACTTAAGCAAGCAACTTTGGTATGCAGGGAAAAACCATCTGGGGGAAAAAATAATATAACTTCCTACAAAAATTAAAATTAAATTTTACCTGTGAAAATTTACATGTGACAGATTAAGTCATGTACTGTTAGAATGAGAAAAATATTTTAAGCATATGAAATTCAACCTCATTACATTAGAAATTAAAATTAAAACTATAGTAAGAGCTGGGCGTGGTGGCACACACCTTTAATCCCAGCACTCAGGAGGAGGCAGGTGGATCTCTGTAAGATGGAGGCTAGCCTGGTCTACATAGCAAGTTCCAGGTCAGCTGGAGTTATAGGGTGACCCCATCTCAAAAAGACCAAATAAATAAATAAAAATAAAGTGGGGTTCTAAGCACTATACTTGAAGTCTAGGGCAACAATACATCTTATCACTGGGGGACTCCACTCTTAGCTGACCTCACCTTTCCTCAGAGG